TTCAGCATGTTGGTAGCCATCCAAGGGAAGACAAAGGAGGACATAAATGTGTGGACAGCATCTGCCTCCCTCTGCACAATCCCCTATGAAACGTCCTCATTATAGTCCGGGTATAAAGACGGGAGCACTTGCAGATGTCCAAACGTTACATAGCTCTCATCTTTATCAACAGGCTCTGCTGCCCAGATGTACGCCACGCCTGTGCCCCAGAGCGAAGATTTAACAAAACCTATAATATTAGATTGCAATAAAAATTATGAAGCCACTCAGCGGGGACATGGTAACCGTTAAAAAGAAACTTTCCTGAACTGTTCAAACTTCTTGCCTTTACAGCTCGTTCCGTTTTTACTGGTAGTGCCTGGTCATCAATAAACAAGGTATTTATAGTTACTTGGTCTTCTTTTTAGTCTTACAACACTCTGACCAGCAGCCCACGTGGAGGGGCCATCTGGATCCTCACGTCACAGTATGAAAGTTGGAGGAGAGCATTTTCCATGAGGTTTGTGCTCTCCAAAATTTCAGCACTTTGACACTGGAAAATAGTGAGGATCAGACATTACTCATAGTTACTGTGCTGCTGACGCTGCTTCTGGAACTTTCTCTTCAGGACAAAAGATCCAAGAGAGTTTTTTTTTTCCAGAGTTAAAAATATTCTGTTAAAGAGAACAGTCAAATGTTGTTCTTAAAGGTACAATTTGCTTTTCTGCTATAAAGTAGATACAAACTCTAACTAGATGAAATTGAGTTTGCTAAAGCACTCTCCTTTAAAAACACTTGCCGTGCTTGTTTGTTTGTTTTTTTCTTTTTAATAAAATACAGTTTTACCTTTTTTCATTATTTTTCATCCATCTACCGGTATGTTAGTTGTGAGATTGCATAGTAGTAGGGTTTGTCAGTGACCAGTGAAGTTTTTGATCCTGTGGATATGGTTTTTATTCTGTATTCTTGTCCTTCACCTTGTTATTATTTAAACCAGTGGATTTGTTTGAGTCATGGACCCCTCTGAGAATCTGATGAAAGCTATGTAGCCTTTCTCCAGAAATATTCACTTAAACACAACTTTGCATGCAATTAATATATATACTTTATTTTATTGAAATTGCAATCAATAATTGCCTCATACATAAATGACAAAAAGTTTGAATAAAGTGAACAATTTAACAAAAAAAGACTCCTTTTTATGCAAAAAGTAATGGCCACCTATTACAAAATGAAATAGTCATCTTGTGCAAATTAAAGTGGGAGTAAACTCCCACTGGACACTTGTGCTTATACCAAAGCTTACCGGTGGGTTCAAGGAATATCTCTGGAACATGCACCGTTTAGGAGATATTCAGTGTCCCTGCAGCTGGTGAAACCGGTGCATGCGCTCTGAAGGAATGGCATACTCATGCCCAGGGGCGGACTGACAACTCATGGGGCCCCTGGGCAATAGGAGATCATGGGGAACTTCATAGTTTAGTTTTTCTTAACAGTCTCCCTAAAGGGGTCCCCCTCCTAACCCAGGATCTATAGCAATTTCATGAGCTACTATGGCTATTGTTACGCAACAGCTTAGGAAAGACAATAGTTATCTAGGCAGACTTAGATTGTTCTCCTAGAAAGTGGATGGTGGGCTTGAGAGTCTCAAGAGTCTAACGTTAGCTTCAGGCACTCAACCATAATTACTTCATAATAAACATCTCCCTATTTGCTGTAGGTGGACTGGAGGGGTTTGATTCAATACTTCTACAATGAAAACTTAGGGACAGGTTTTGATCATTATTCCATACAGTGGTTGGTGGGCTTGAAGGTCTTAGGCAGGGGTAGACTGACAACTCATGGGGCCCCCAGGCAATAGGGGATCATGGGGCCCCTGTGTCCTTGCCCAAACTCAAAAAAGCCTATGAAAAAAGGTACCAGGGGCATCTCATGGGGCCCCCTACTGACCCCGGGCCCTCGGGCAGTACCCGAGTTTCCAAATGGTCAGTCCGCCCCTGCTCATGCCGTTCCTTCAAAGCTCTGTGCCACAGCTGAGACTAACACACGTTTGCATAGGAGTAACGTCATCATGGCGCAACCAAGCAAGCGGCTAGAGAACGTGAACCCAGAAGGAAGACAGAGTGATTAAGGAAGCCCTGTCTGCAGTGATGCTGGAGGGCTTCGTTTTAAGGTATGTCTTTCATTATGTGCTAGTATAGGGGTGGGCAAACTTTTTGACTTGAGGGCCGCAATGGGTTCATATATTGGACCCGGGGGCCGGACCAAGAGTAGATGAATGATGTGTATGTGTCATCCATAGTAAGTATAGTAATATTCCCCCATAGTAAGCATAGGAATTAATCCCCCATATAGTAATTCATCCCCCATAGTAATTCATCCCCCATAGTAATTCATCCCCCATATAGTAATTCATCCCCCATATAGTAATTCATCCCCCATAGTAATTCATCCCCCATAGTAATTCATCCCCCCATATAGTAATTCATCCCCCATAGTAATTCATCCCCCATATAGTAATTCATCCCCCATAATAATTCATCCCCCATAGTAATTCATCCCCCATATAGTAATTCATCCCCCATAGTAATTCATCCCCCATATAGTAATTCATCCCCCATAGTAATTCATCCCCCATAGTAATTAATCCCCCATATAGTAATTCATCCCCCATAGTAATTCATCCCCCATATAGTAATTCATCCCCCATAGTAATTAATCCCCCATATAGTAATTCATCCCCCATAGTAATTCATCCCCCATAGTAATTCATCCCCCATAGTAATTAATTCCCCATATAGTAATTCATCCCCCATAGTAATTAATCCCCCATATAGTAATTCATCCCCCATAGTAATTCATCCCCCATAGTAATTAATCCCCCATATAGTAATTCATCCCCCATAGTAATTCATCCCCCATATAGTAATTCATCCCCCATATAGTAATTCATCCCCCATAGTAATTCATCCCCCATATAGTAATTCATCCCCCATAGTAATTCATCCCCCATATAGTAATTCATCCCCCATAGTAATTAATCCCCCATATAGTAATTCATCCCCCATAGTAATTCATCCCCCATAGTAATTCATCCCCCATAGTAATTCATCCCCCCATAGTAAATTCATCCCCCATATAGTAATTCATCCCCCATATAGTAATTCATCCCCCATAGTAATTCATCCCCCATAGTAATTCATCCCCCATAGTAATTCATCCCCCATATAGTAATTCATCCCCCATATAGTAATTAATCCCCCATATAGTAATTCATCCCCCATAGTAATTCATCCCCCATATAGTAATTCATCCCCCATAGTAATTAATCCCCCATATAGTAATTCATCCCCCATAGTAATTCATCCCCCATAGTAATTCATCCCCCATAGTAATTAATCCCCCCATAGTAATTCATCCCCCATAGTAATTAATCCCCCATATAGTAATTCATCCCCCATAGTAATTCATTCACTTACCTTTGCTCCGCACTTTCCTCTCGCCGTGTTCCCGCGCCGTTCCGGTCTTCAGGGCGGACTGTGAGAGGAGCCTAGCTCCCCTCACGTTCGTCACGCTGCCCCGCCTACACACATCCTGACAGCCATCCTGACAGTATCACGCTCCACGGGCCGGATTAAAAGGTCCGCCGGGCCGTATATGGCCCGCGGGCCGTAGTTTGCCCATTGCTGTGCTAGTATGTGATGCTTGCACATTATGACATTACCTTGCAGAGAGAAGATTTTTTTTTTTAGGGCAAGTTTACTACCACTTTAAACAAAACAATTTTAATTTTGCTCAAATCTACTTTTACTAATGCCACAAAAAAAATGAGAATTAGCATTGGCTGTTATGAAGTGGCATTGTGGCACATGATGGTGGTTGTGCAGAGAACGATGATACAAATTTAAATGGTAAACATTGGCCAACAACAAGTCAAGAGACATTTAGCAGTTGGCGCTATAAGCAGTGGCAGAGTGCATTTTATTTCATTTCTTTCAATAGGAAACCATCAACTGGGACAAGGGGGAGGGCTGTATAGTGAATGCAAATGTTATTTTTTATCTCACTCTCACTGACCCCCTGAAACCCATCGATGGACCACTTAGGGGTCCAAGGACCCCAGGTTTAGAACCCCTGATCTAAACTTTGTTGGTCAGTAAGATCACAACTTTCTGGTTTAGCATTACTGCTTCATAAGGTATTTTCCTGCTTTCTGGACAAAGGAGGTGATGGTCATTTCTGTCCAATGAAGAGGCAGAATGGTGACACAAGAATCTGGACTACTTAGTCGGGAAGATGAATTGCTTAATAAAGGAGAATGGGTGTCATCTGCCTGGCTGTGCAGTATGGAAAATGTGTTTAAATTGCAAGATTGGCTGTCTTTTTCCCCAGGAAACTCCTGTTATTATGTATTGCTACCACTGCCCATTTGTTGCCCATGTAGTGTCAGGATTGCCCATTTGATGCTCATGAACTGCCATGACTACCTGTCCTATGCCCATGTGTTATCATGACTGCCAATTTGTCATGCACACATTGTCATTGTTCCCCATGTGTTAGCAACATCTCTTGCCAACCTACTGTCACTACTGTCTGTGTAAATAGATAGGACAGTATATTTTATTTTTTTGTTTTAACTTTCTTTCTTACATTTCTTCAATTACTTCCTGGTGTCTGGCCTAAGTCAAAATGATACATCCCAGGAGTCCTAATGGGCATTTTTTTTTCTTTCATCTGGAGGAGGGAGGAGTGACTTTCCCAGCTAAGCACACCCTTCTGGCTGAATAACTGAGCAGATGAATTCCAGGAAGTAAATGCTGCAGGATTTATCTGCCCTTACTAAAGATGGCCATGGCTAGAAATGCTTCAGGGGATGTTTTTTTAACCACTTCCTGACCAGCCCATGTACATAAATGGCTGGACGGGAGCAGTGCAGGAGCGGGTTGGTTCATAAACGGCTCCCACATTTTCAAGCTGTGCGTGCTCCCTGGGAGCACGCAGCACCGCGATCCGTGCTCCGGACACAGCGGAACACTGATCGCTGTACGGGACCTCTGTGTGAGGTCCCGATCATGTGATCACTGATTGGCCAATCAGTGATCACATGAATAGTAGTAAGCACTTATAGAATAGTAGATGTCACTTCTGACATCATTGCTTACTATGTGTGAAATCTGTGAATGATCACAGAGATCACATGGTACAAGGCTATTTACAACAGCCTTGTACCATATGACAAGCTGTGACCAATCACAGCTCTCACAGTATTTCTCAATGGCTGCAAGAATGCAGCCAGAGAGAAGGAGCAATGATTGCCTTTACAGTCTTTATGGGTGTAAAAGCAATCAGTGTAAAAAAAAAAAAAAATCTTCATCACTCCCCACAAGTAGTACAGTGTCACTATGGTTACACTGTACAGCTAGGGTGATAGTATGTAAAAAACAAAAAAAAAACAAAAACATAAATAATAATATAAAAAAAAAATGTAAAAACATTTTTTGAAAAATTATAATTTTTGGTTATAAACTAATTTGGGTTTTTGTTTTTACTAAAAAGATAACTGAATAAATGTTGGCCAAGATTTATGAAGAAAGATTATTTATTTGCAAAATTTTATAAGAAAAACACTTTTTTTCAACATTTGTGGACTTTTCATTTATATAGCAAAAAAAAAAATAAAAATCCCAGTGGTGAATAAATACCACCAAAATAAAGTTTCATCTGTCTCAAAAAAATGCTAACAAATTCATATGAGTACAGTGTTGCATGAGCGCACAATTGTCATTCAAAGTGTGATAGCACTGAAAATTGAAAATTGGCCTGGACAGGAAGGGGGTAAAAGTGTCTGGACTTGAAGTGGGTAAAGGAGCAGGGAGACATGGATGAATTGGAGAGTTAATTTATAATCGGTGAGTTTGTTGTGCATATTAAAATTTAATTAAATTGCGTTTTTTAGTTTGTGGTGCTCAGATACAGTTGTTTCAAATGAGTCAATATTTCTTGACAGTTACTTAGGATTTGGATTTATTTGGGTGCCACCTAAATTAGTCAGCCTGGAGTTTAGACCTGAAATGTTTGCTAGGACAAGTGAATGATCAGACACACTGATATCTTGATTTTTATGCATAGTGACAATGACTTTCCCTTCAGAGGTAAGCAGATGGTCAGTTCAGTTTGTAAGTATGTTGCATGGATACTGGAGTAATTTTGTAAAATCTCTGCTTGTTGGGTTACATCATCACCAGATGTTCTATCAATTCATGATAATGTAGCATTTCATTCATTTATATCCAGATATGGGGGGGACATGGCAATCTGTCCCCCCATAGAGTGAGATTTATTTAACAATGAGTCAAGGGCAATGTTGGAGTTTCCGTGTTAGTAAACAGGTTCTTCTGTGTGTAGGAACAAGCTGAGCAACATTTTTCTGAAAAAGAGAAGTTGTCCAACATTTGGAGTATAATATGGTATTAATGTAACAGTCAATCCCTCAAAGGTCTCAGATACCAGAAAAAAACTTCCCTCAGGGTCTCGAACAACATCAGAGGATGCAAATTGTGTAATTTTTGAAAAGTAGATGGCCACACCTCTTGTCTTGTCCTGTGCATTGGAGAAACAGATAACCTTTATGGAGTAATTAAGGATTAGAAGAAATTGGGAAGTGGGTTTCTTGAAAGACAAGGACATATACTGCCACAGAGTGATAATGTTGGAAATGTTAAAGCCCTGTACATTATGGGTAAGTCATTTGGTTTGTTTCTGAGGATTTATGTAAGCCTTGTTGGCGTAGGGGATGAAAGACTGTAGATAAACACAGATCCGGTGAAGCCGTCTGGCGTGGGAGTATTTGGTCTGGTGAGTAGAGCGTCTGCAATGAAAGATATATTTGATAGAAGTGGTGAGGAAAGTGTAGAACCATTAAAAAGGCATTAAAACGCTGTAAGGAACATTGAACATTCAAACATTACAAAATACGTGCTTCAGATAATCAATGGCATGGCAAAAGGTATATGTGCCAACAGAAGTAGTGAGACTTGTTCTGAAGCTGCTCCTGGCAAAGTTGCCATCAGCAAGTTCAAAAGGAAGTGCATGATAACTACTGTACATCTGACCATGACTGTTGTACAGAAGCTTTGTTTAACAAAAAAAAATAACAAACATATCTATACTTACCTGCTCTGTGACGTGGTTTTGCACAGAGCAGCCCTCTTCTTTTCGGATCCCCGCCTGTGCTCCTGCCCCCTCAAGCAGTGCTCCCAGGGAAAGCCACTCGCAATGGAGGCACCGCTGCATGCTTGTTGCCGAGCTGCTGCATCCATGACATATAAAGTTGCGGTTCCCCCCCATACATTCTCTCCTCATTGGCTCACTGGATGTTATTTACAGCAGTAGGAGCGAATGGGCTCCCCCTGCTGTCTCAGCCAATGAGGAGGAAGAGTCCCCAGTCAGCAGAGGGTGTTGTGAATGTCATTGGATCGGAGGGGGCTCAGGTAAGGTATAAGGGCGGGGGGGGGGGGGGGGGGGCTTGGGGGGGCCACTGCACACAGAAGGGTTTTCACCTTCATGCATGAAGATAAAACACCTTGAGCCTTTAGAACCATTTTAACTTTAGCTTAAAAAATGATCCCTACAGCTTTAGTCTCATCATTTACCTGTACTGAAGCATACTCCACTGATGACGATCTTCTATCGAAACACATCGAGGTTTGATGACCCAACTTCCGTGGACGTCACATCCGCCCCGTGGAACGTACGCTGCTCTGGTGAGCATCCAGTGCAGTTTACCCCCAATAAATATACCATACAGGTTTACACTGCGGGATGTCCCTCTCTTCTGTATTTTGTATTTACATGGTGATATATATTTTTCTAATTTCTTTCATCTGTGGGGGTCTGGAGACCACCAACCTTTTGGCAACTACTTTGTTGAGCCTCATGGATCATCTTGGGATATGAGTATAGGCTCAAATATTGGAGACCACCGGCAAAAAATTTTGGGATTTACCCTAGAAAGCTCAAAAGACCATTCTAGAAATAGATGGTCATTGAATAGTGGTGAGTGTCAGTCCATGTGGGGCACTTTTGTCAAGCACAGTGGAACACTTTTTTGAAGATTATATATTGAGCATCAGCACTGGGTCTACTTATTTGGGACTGGCAGTGAAGATGGACAATGACCCAAAGCATACTGCAAAAGCAACCAAAGAGTTTTTTTTAAAGAAGTGGAATGTTTATGCACATGGGCCAAGTCCAATCACCTGACCCTGATCCGCATTGAGCATGCATTTCACTTGCTGGAAGATGAAACTGAAGGGAAAATGTTGATGTCATTCCCAGGAAATCACTAGGATTTGAAGGTGAAAAGGATTAATTCAGACCTGATTTGGATGTAAATACTCAAATTATAAGCTGACAGTCCTGCAGTTTATTCTTGCTTGTTTCATTTTAAATACCACATTGTAGGTGGTGTATAGGGCCAAAATGTTATTGTGTGTAGATATGTATATGTTTTGTTTTTAATTATGCGCAGTCTTATTGTTTTCTATAATATTTAATTGTGATCATTTTACACAAGTAGAGGACTGCAGCAATGGGTTTATTTGGGCATTCACAGATTATTTTGTAGCAATCACATACCCAATAGCGCATGAGCACCTTGTTTACTATACTCCACATTGTGTAGGCCATCGGATTCTGGAGAAATCTTCACTACAGGGAAGCCTGTCCTCTTCCTGCCTCTGAACTTCTGGCGATGCAATGGATAACAGCTTTGTGTCTTCAGGCAGAAGAGCAATATGGATGATCCAACGGAGATATACCCCCCCTCCTTCCTTCTTCTCCACTGAATGCACTGCCTGTTACACAGTCTGTGAATGGGGGAGAGTCTGGCCAATCACAGGATTCTCTCCCTATTTAAAGGCAGTGTAATCAATAAAATAACTTTTCTTAATAGAGTAGGAGAAAGGAGGGGTTATGTCCCTGTTGAACCTTCTGTGAATGGGGGAGAGTCTGGCCAATCACAGGATAACTCTCCCTATTTAAAGGCAGTGTAATCAATAAAATAACTTTTCTTAATAGAGTAGGAGAAAGGAGGGGTTATGCTGCTCTCTTCTGCCTGAAGATCCAAAGCTGCTAACCATTGCATCGCCAGAAGATGCCCTGATGAAGTCACGTGATGGTGACGCAACGCGTCAGGTGGGGGGGCGGAGGCAGATTACGGAAGTGAAAGGATCCATTCTTATCTGTAAAGTGCCTGTTATTTTAATAGAATGTAAGTGTGATTTTAATAAATATTGAGTCTTTTACTAATTTACTGCACTATATGAGGCGTTCTTTCATTTGGGGAGGTTACTGGTATCTGGTGGATGGAGGATTTCCAATACTACCTTAAATTAATTCATTACATGGGAGAAGGAGTGGGTAGCCCCCCAGCGGCTAAAGGAGATAGTGCAAGATCTGGATTTGTGGAGATATCCTATTAAAAACACACAGTTTTGTACATGCGTTGGAGGTGAGAGTTCTGAGAGCACAGAAACGGCACTAATTAATGCATGAAAATTTACATTCATCACAGATCTGTAGCTATGGTGTTGGATCGTGTGACATTTGGAAACATATGAACTTATTTATTGGAAGAATGTTGGCATCTTTATTCACATAATTTTATTAGTGAATGATATTCATATTTATTTATATTCACATATGTTTTTTATTGATTGATATTCTTATTTTTTCACATTATTATTAGGAGCACAGTGCATTCACTTGGATTGTTTATTATGACAGATTGATGTTTATTCACTAGCAGCGCTACATCACTTTATCTATTTATTCTGTTTGTATTGTGGGAACACAATTGATGTCAGCAGCAGAAATTTGTCACTTTGTATTATGTAGTAGGCATAGAAGTTCACTCCACTTATTGATTGGAACATACTTTACTACAGGTAAGGGATGTGAAGCTGTAGGGAAATTTTTTTTCTTAGCTGAACTGCACCCTGCAGGGGCGGACTGACAATTCATGGGGCCTCTGGGCAATAGAGGGTCATGGGGGCCCCTGTGTCATCGCCCACACCCAAAAAAGCCTAGGAAAAAGCCAATGAAAGGTACCAGGGGCATCTCATGGGGCCCCCTACTGACCCCAGGCCCTCGGGCAGTGCCCGAG